ATATAATTAATTGTCTTTTGGTTCCCCTTGCATAATTAAGATCACTTTGTTGGTAACGGAGCAACTCGGTGGTGACGATAGCCCGCGGCGACGACAAGATCCTGGTAGTGATGGACCGGGCCCGGGTCGACCGGCCCGGCGAGGGGGGTTTTTCAGGGCAGACTCCAGGTGCAGGAAAATGGGGCCCGACCTTTTTATTTTTTTTATTTTTTGGATTTGGGCCTATGGTAGGTGGGCTAGGCTGGGTGTTTTGGCGGGGTGGGGGGGGGGAATAAATAAGCAAAGCTATAAAAAAAATATAAGAACTGGCCCGACCCGGTCCTATAAATACCCCGTTGGGGTAGTTGTAAAGGGTTGAGTAATCATTACATACAAAGTTCTCTCTCTACTTTAGCTCTCCCCTCTCTCTACGCTTCGGTTCGAGCCGGGAGGCTATCAAGGGAATTTAAACATTTGATCCCATTTTTAGATTTGGACCATGTTTTACTCATATTTTGGGAATATGCTCTTTGAATATTTGGGAATTGCAATCTGAAGTCGTGTGTGGTTGATATATAATCTATTCATTTAAGGGTCACCAAACTGTCTGCTTTTCTTTCTTATGAAGCAGCAGTCAGTACATGCAATTTTGGACGCTATTTATGTGTCATCTGGAAACAGTCTCTCTGTGATTTAGTATAGGGGTAAGATTGCGTACATCCGACCCCCCTTACCCCACCGTAGGTGGGAGCCTTTGCGACACTGGGGTAAATGATGATTGATTGATTGATTGAATTATATATAGGGTAAAACAGGTTTTAAAGAAAATATTACTGAAACAAAATTACTTACAAGTACAATTTAAGTTACTATGATGAGTATTGTGTAATGCTCGTTTAAGGATAAAACTAAGACTTGCTTAATATACTTATTCCAGAGATTGAACTAATGCACATCGAAAATATATTACATGTGTGCTATGAATTGAGATAGTAGTTTATGTTCTATATTTATGTTAATTATTTTTTAAATTTAGTCTGCCATTTGCCACGAACAGCATAATAGCAATGTCAAAAGTTCAGAAAGAAAGAATGAAAGAAAGAGAAACTCAATATTCATTCTTCAGTGATATACGCCAAAGGGAAGTTACTAGAAATATATTCACATGTCAAAAGTTCAAAATATTGTTACTATTTTAAATCTTCAGTGCTGAATTGGATGAAATGTTAATTCTTGTTAGCTCAACTGGTAGCGAGGGGGTGCTACAAGGGTTAGGTCCCGGGTTCGAATCTTGGCAACTGCGATGAGAGGATACTATGCTAAAAATGCATAGGACCTCTCCAAGTATCGGGGACGGAGCCCCAAGCGAGGGGGTGCTACAAGGGTTAGGTCCCGGGTTCGAATCTTGGCAACTGCGATGAGAGGATACTATGCTAAAAATGCATAGGACCTCTCCAAGTATCGGGGACGGAGCCCCACTCTCTATCTGTCAGATTGTGATTATAGTCCAATTTACATCCTCCATCGTGTCGTCCGGTCGGTGTTGGGGGGCCCTCAGGGATGGGGTGTGATTTTTTTTTAATTCTTGTTAGGTGACATGTAATAAATAAGATGTTGACACTTCATCATCTTATCAAAGGTCAGAATTAGATTGATAGTTAGTTGCTAAATTGTTAAATAACTGAAGGTTGTATACGGTTGACAGCTTGGATGTTAATACACTTATACACCTAGGGGTGTGCACCGGTCCAAAACCGGACCGGACCGGAACCGGTTAGGACCGGAACCGGAATCACCATTTTCTTTGGACCGAAGACCGGACCTGAATCTAACCGGTCTGGAACGGTCCGGACCTGAATTTTCCGGTCCGGTCCGGTTTTGACCCTAATTGACCCGGTTTTAAAAAATAAATATTATCTTAGAGTGTTCTTAGTTGGCCCCAATAATTGTTGTTATCAAAACTATTCAATCGTAACAATTACTTTCCCACAATAATTAAGAGTAAAGGGTCAGTTTAGTCCTCGAAGTTGCAAAAAAGGCGTCAAATAAGTCCTTATATAGAAGATTCTGTCCGGACGTGCCATTTGAGGTGTCTCCCGGTGGAATTTTGTGATAAATTTTTTTGAGCATCTTATTTATTAAGTCTAGTTTACTCATACCAAATTTCAGTTAAAAATTCAATCGGGAAGACATTCAAATGAATTCTTGAAGATAACAGCGCTTTTAACGGCACAGTTATCTTCAAGAATTCATTTGAATGTCTTCCCGATTGAATTTTTATCTGAAATTTGGTATGAGTAAACTAGACTTAATGAATAAGATGCTCAAAAAATTTCATCAAAAAATTCCACCGGGAGCCACCTCAAATGGCACGTCCGGACAGAATTTTCTATATAAGGACTTATTTGACCCCTTTTTTTGCAACTTCGAGAACCAAACTGACCCCTTTCTGTATATTAAAATGCAAAATCTATTGTAAAGTAATAAAAACTAAATTAAGTCCAAAAATATACTACGTATAGACTACATGTGCACCTGCAAATAAAGAAACAAATAAAAAGCAGAAAAATCACATAAATAAATAAAAATAAAAAAACTTAGGAAATAATTAGACACCAAATATACACTCCGTATATATTCATTTATATAATAAAAGACAAAAATAAGTCATAAACATAATGACTAATGATACAAAACCAAGCATATATTTTACGGGAAAATAGGTTACCGGTCCATTCCGGTCCGGACCTATTTTTTCCGGGTTTGACCCGGACCGGACCGGAACCCGGAATCTTACAAAACTAAGGACCGAAATCCGGACCGGTTTATACCGGTCTGGTCCGGACCGGTCCATTCCGGTCCGGACCGGTCCATTCCGGTTCGGTTCAGGTCTAAAATACGGTCCGACCCTGTTAATGCACAGCCCTAAATACACCTCTTCTTGAAACCTCTTCTCCTCCCTAACCTCTTCTTATTATGATTTCATTAATATATTAGCTTAATCTCTCGACTTGCCTAATTTTAATGGAAATGCAAGAGGATGGATTTACAAAGTTCCATCATTATTTTTTGATTCATAATGTGTCGGACTATTACAAAATAATCATGGTGAGGATATATGTTGATGGTAATGTGGAGAATTGTTATATGTATCAAATAACTGGCAGAGAATAAATGGGTTGAGATGCTTTTGTAAGTTGTAACTCTATTTCTTGATAGATCCTCCAAAGATAATGATATGATTTGGGAATTTAACAAGTTAAGACAGAAAGGGGGCAAGGGAGGATTATACTGATAAGTTTTCGAAGCTAAAATCTTTCGTGTTCCTACTTCCTCAAAAGCTTCTTCAGCGGTTTAAAGGAAGAAATAAGGTATATGGTTGGAATTGTTGCTCTTGAAACCTTAGACCAGACTTTTGTGATTGCCACAAAACATGAATCTTTGTTAGAAGTAGTAGGGAGAACCGGAAAAATTAATTTAAAGGGTAATGGAACTAAGTTGGGAAATGAAACCAAGGCAACAATGTCTAATGAAAGGTCATTACCAATTAGACGATTAAGGGAGTGTTTGCAACCGCTTCTTCTTAAAAAAACGCATTTTTGGAGATGTAATGAAAAAGTGATTAGTAGTAAAAGTTGATAGTGTTTAAGAAAAAAATGATTTTGAAAAGTAAAAGTTGGTAGTGTTTGGTAAAATAAGTGTTTTTTGGGTAATAGAAAAGAGAAAAACACTTTTCACACGCAAGCCGAGAAAAAGTAAAAATTGGAAGTGTTTGGTAAATAAGAGTTTTTTTAAGCCAAAAGCTGAGAAGTGCTTTTTTAAACTGTTACAACTTACAAACACTCCCTAAGCAAAGAAGAATTAGATGCTAGCAGGAAAAGAGGACTATGTTTTAACTATGATGTATAATACATGTATTGTACCCGTGCGAGACACGATGAGGGAATTTGTGTATGTTTAGCTGTTAAAAAAAATGTGGAACTTAGCAGTACAATAAAAAGTGAGTTTTCTAACTAATAATTTTCCATGTATTCTATTTTTCTGGGAAATAACTTTAAATAATATCAACTATCTTCCATGAACCAAGAATAATATCAACTTGAGAAATAACTTTTAATAATACCAACTATTTGAATATCTATCAAAAGTAATATATAGCAAATTTTCATTAAAAATTCATTTGTTCAATTCATCAAAAACTAATATCAAAATATCAAATAAGTGACCGTATTTTCAAATATCAATTATTTGATGATTTGATTCTAGTTTTCGATGTCTTAAATGGTTGAATTTCTTATAGAAAAGTCTCTATTTTATTTTAAATGGTATTATTAAAAGTTATTTCTAAAGTATGTATTATTATTGGTTCATTGAAGATAGTTGATATTATTTAAAGTTATTTTTTTTTTTCAAAAAACAAAAATAGAATACATGTAAAATTATTAGTTACGAAAACAGTATGTAGTTATGAAAATTATAACGGCAAATTTCAATTTTCAACTAGTGGTTTGAAACTTATAAATTCCATTAGTTAAAGTCAATCTCGTAGAAATAGTGCGTAATTTCATTCAGATTTTATAATTGAGTGTGACATTTAGAATCTCAAAAATATGAATCTGACATTTCAATATACTCCCTCTATCCCATTTATATTGTCCCGTTTTACCTTTTCGAGAAGTCTCACTTAAATTGTCTCATATCATATTTGGCAAAGTTTGTGTGGCTCTAAACCATTCTTACTTTATTGTTACTTTATCAATTAAAATCAACCACACAAACCCACTTTTCTTAATAACCGTGTCACCTTCTTCCGGGGACAATGTAAATGAGACGGAGGAAGTAGTGACTAATTGAAGAATCAAAAGTGCAATTTTTCCAAAAATCAATCAAATTCCTAAACATTTAAAAAATGTTTAATTAGGTCCATTAACATGTTACCCACCACATCAACAAGTGACTGGTGATGCGGCGCACACATGGCTCACATGTGCGCTGTATGAACGGGTGACCAACTGAAATGGCACGTAACCTGCTATTTCACTCAATTGAACGATTTAAAGTATGAGGACTTTATTTACTTTTTTTTGTGATAGTACAAGGATCAAATTAAATGTTTTCCCTTGTTTTTATTAAAATGAAGCTTTGCTTTATTTGAATAAATAATTGGGAAATTTTCCAACATTAGAAGTTTAGAACCTTTCAAAATGGTCCACATTTCCACTCTAGCAAACCATGCAAAGGGAAGAGAAATACAGAATGCACAACACAGACAACACCACAAGTTCTCTTGACAGAACAGCTCAAAAACAGTTGCCCATTGGAATGGAGGGATCTCTCTACTATTCCTTTCTATCCACTTATGATTGAGCTCCGAGCTCCAAAAGCAATGTGTGATTCACTTTATCAGCGACTGGACCAACAAATTGAATTGGACCTGCAATGACACAATGTGGGGAGGGGGCAATGGGAGAACTGAGATCCATTCCTTGTCCTTGGATGTATAGTAACACAAAGCTGTATGATGCAGTGTTCTAAAAGGCTTAAATAGGCACCGCCTAGGCGGGCCTAGGCCCAAGGCGTCAAGTAAACGCCCTGCACCAGCCAGATGCGTGAAGAAAGGCGGTCCAAAGAAGGCCAGCCCTCAAATTTGACTAAGATTAAAGCCCACAAGCAGCCATTCTCAGCAATATGGCCTACCGCCAAGTATCTATAAGACAAGAGCTATTATGTATAGCTACGATGGAAAGAGGAGTGCCCACTTCAACCGGTGTGGGAATTGGGATATCAGCAATTCGCTTTGGAAATTAACAATTCAAAGTATTAGTGCAGCCGTGCAGACCTGAAGCACAATTCACTCGAATTATATAAATTGCAATCTATTCTTTTTCATCATCAATATTATTATTATTAGAAACTTTTACATATTAATGACTAAAATAAAAATTGTTTAAAAAAATGTGAATTTTTAAGTGTAGTGACTTTAGTCAATGTAACTTATATTCAATTTTTATATTTAAGTGACATGACATGATACTATAATAATGTGTAGTCATATTTTTTATATATAAGTTTTATTTGAGTAATATTTTTGGAAAAACCTCATTATTATTATTATTGTTGTTGTTGTTATTGTTATTATTAATACTGCCGATATTTTCATCACTATAAAAAAATCTATTATTTTATCATTCAACTAATTTTTCAGCCTTTCTAGCTATATGAATATCTATATCAGTATTGAGTATATATATTATTTGTGAATATTAAAACTTTTTGTATTTTTTGTAGGGAAATTGAAAATATGATATTTTTTGTATGATATTGTCTCATATCATATTTATATAATTACTAATAGCTCTAGAAAAATTTAAAATAAAGAGTAAAAGTTGCAAACGCCTTTTCACGCCTAAACCCCGCCTAAACTCGCCTAGGCTTCAAAGGCTCAAGGCTTGGTTATGCCGCCTCGGCACACCTTACGCGTTTTAGAACATTGGTATGATGTGATGAACACGTACCGGGATTTATGTAGCGGTTCTTTAAGGCCCATTCTTCCCGCGATGATGCAAATTTCTTGAATGGAGCACCTGCTCATAATTGTATTCCAAGTTAAAGAAAAACAAAAACTAGTCCTATATACAATTATCTTGAGTGCCTGTTTGGCTGGCATGTGTTTGCTAGAGATGTTTTTCGTCTCATAGGCACACTTTCATTAAACACCAACTTATTTCGATCATGCTTGGTGATAGGCTGATACTTCAAAAAAGGTTGTGCAGAAGTTACGTTTTTTTGCTGAAATGGCTTCAAATTATGAAAGCGGCATGGAAAACTACATTTTAGATGTATTCCTAAATGTATTTTTAATGTATTTTCAAAAACAAATTTTAAACATTTCAGCAGCATTTTTAGTCACTTCAGCCACTTTAGGCGTTAAAATGGGCACCATGAAAACAAACAACGTTTTACCTTCAAGCTCCACCATTGCTTTCTTGATCACAGGCTTGAATTTACCTGCAAAAATTTATTCAGTACTAAACTATGACGAGTGAAAGATAAGTAGAGCGTTCCACAAGAATTATTATTGTTAGTTTAGTGTTTTTACCATGTCTTCTCTCAACATCCATTAAAGCTGTCAGTGGAGTTCCCCCAACAGTCCAATCTGACACTGAAGCAGCTAAGTTTCCAACAGATGATATCAATCCGGTCTTCCCACTCTGAAGTAGTGCCCCAGCACCATACCCCAATGCATAACAGTATGTAGCATCAAAATTTGAAGGCAACCCACACCTTCCTTCATAACTGAAGTCAAAATTGTTAAATCAAGCCATGTGGAATATATAATACCGAGTAGTTTATATCATATCATCCTTATTAATGGTGAAAGTAAGGATCTGTTTTGCACTACAAAAATAGCAAGGAAGAAAATAATGGTGAAGTTCAGACTTCTGAGACAACAAAAAATGGTGGGGGCGTAATTGGTTCAAACTCAATTGACTTCTTTTATTTTTTATCAAACTCATTTTACATATATATTTCCTTAGTGCATAGCCAAAAAAATATATAAGTAAAATTGTAATCAAATTCAACCTCACTCCGCATCTTCCTAGGAAACACCATAAAACCAAGCATTTAAATACTATTTTTTGCCTTTTTCCTTCCTTTCCCTACAATTTTCCGCATAAAAACTAGTGTAGAAGTGCAGATCCTAAACACTACCACGGAATAGAGGTTTGAGTAAACATAATGAGTACCCAAAAAAGTGGGACTGGCCCTTGAAGTGACCATTATATAAACCACTACTCTTTCGTAACTCCAACTCTGTTTCCACCATCTGAATTAGCATTTTTTCGGTTTCAATCTTGGCAACCTGCAGCAAACATGGACGACCTCATTGTTATAAGCATTTTCCAGTTTTTTTGAACTAAAATGGAGCGGCAGAATTCCTTTTAAATACCTGAACATTTCCATGTGGATCTCTCTCAAGCAGCAATTGGTCTTGAATTGCCTGGGGAAGTAAGTCAAAAAGTTCCAGGCATTGTGGGGTCAGTTTCCTTTTCCAAACACCTTCATCGTCTACAATATCATGAGCCAAAATTTCATTCAGTTCCCCGATAAGCTGTTGGACCTGCAAAAGTAGAAAAATATCACATAATAATGAGAAATCTCATTGACCACCATCTCAACCCCTAAGGCTTTGTTGGATCATGGAAATGCTAGTTAAAGATGAGAAAATGCTAAATAAATTTACTTTTGTATATTTAGATATACCTATGACAACGCAAAGCAAAATGAAATATAAATAATGTTTTTGAATTCTTACAAGTGCTTAGGTTGCACAGTATTTGTATAATTATACATGACACAAATAAATATATATAAATGCATTCAAAATCCGAACAAATATTTAAAAAAATTTTGAGCTTGAACAGTTATTTCTTTCTAAACTTCTCCTATACTTTCATCATTAATTTCTTTCCTTAGCAGTTTCCATGTACCAAAAGGACCCTAAGGGAAACACCAAACCAAACCGAATCAAACACGCAAAATATGTCCTACTTGAAAGTAGGGTCCAGGAAGGGTGATATGTACGCAAAACTTAACTCTACTCCATGGAGGATGTCATAATACTTCGAAAAATCTCTATTGTTTTTGAAGATTTCTGTGAAATGTTAAAACCAGAAGTGGAATATATTTGCAAGATCTAAAAGCATTGTTTTTTCAAATTCAATGTTTTTACCTCAGGAATGAAATCTATAAGGCCTTCAGGTATGAGTATGACACCATAATTGTGTCCCAATTCTGCACGCTTGCATATCACATTTGCAATGTAGTCGGTAACGTTTTTCAGAGTTTGTTTCTTTGCAAAAACCTGCATGAAAAGTTATAAGTTATGATCGCAAATGCGCAATATGTGCAACTAGAGGCCCTAGAACAAATAAACCAGATGAAAGAGTAGGAAATACCTCTTCTCCTATCAAAGTGACATTTGGATGAGTTTGTAATGCGCACTCTAAAGTAATGTGTGAAGCAGCACGCCCCATAAGCCGCACAACTACAAACAGCTAAATATTAGCATGCCATACAAAATTCACATAGAGCATACTCTTTACTGTAATAATGTTGAGATGAGAAAGAATACGTTTATCATGAAATATGGTCCTCGTTTCAGTAATTCACTTTTTTAGAGTGTGGATAGCTGAGAGCTATAAACGAGACTATAAACAAGCTATAACTGAGAGCAGTCATGTAAATTTACTCACAATGGTAGTATTTCCCAGTTGAACGAGCATCAACCATGACATTTCCAATCATTTCAGCATATATCTACAGAAAAATAAATGATTCTAACTTGTTATTGCTGATAACACCCTCATGAAATACTCGTGACCGTGAGAACTTCACAAATCATAACATACTAGTGTGTGAGGACATACATAAAATGTTACACCAAAAATGTTATTGTTACATAGTATTTGGTAAAGCTGAATGCAAGTGAAAATTTTGAGAATCATAAAATGTTGAGCATGAAAATTGCTACACCCCTGAGAAGGTTTAGTAGTAATGATAAGTCTATACTCTCTAGAATAAAATTCAACAAAGAATTCCCCAAAACATCCACATGAGAAAAGTGTGAATGAGTAAGTAGACAACACAAAGGATAGCCAAAGGATACACATGTGATTGTAGCCAATTTTACAAATGTTAGCACCAATGAAGTGCCATTAAAAGAGCAAGCATATAAATACTCCAAAAATAAATTTACATAGAATTGTTAGTCCAATAACAAAATCAGAGAATCAAAGTACTCAAACTTTGAGCATCAAAATGTTTGAAACGGATATTGTACCCAATATTACCTTGCATGCCGTATCAAACCCAAAACTTGTGGGGACCTCCTTGCATTTCAAATCACCATCGATGGTTTTTGGACATCCAATCACACGAGTTTTCAAATTTTTACTCCTAACAGTTATGTTAAGAAAAAAATAAGTGATCACCTTGTTTAAGTGTTTACATATCCACAAACATGGCACTATAGAAGATCTTAGCCAGTATAAAACAAAAAGGTAATTCTACAGAGATGGATACCTAAAGTTCTCAGCAAGAAGACAGGCATTCGTATTTGAGTCATCTCCACCTATCACCACAAGCCCATCCAAATCAAGCTTTTTTGCAGTTTCTTCAGCTTGCTTGAACTGTTAAGAAAATTCAGTTACCCATTTATTCATCGTGCTTCTCTTCCAAAATGAAAAGCATAAATCACAAATTGGATATGGAACTTCAAAATAAATCCCAAATTACCTGCTCTGGAGTTTCAATTTTGTCTCTCCCGCTGCAAATCATATCAAATCCTCCCTGGGGATAAATTATTGTTGTGATGTATCAGCCACTAAAAGAATTGTGCTATGGTATGAACCAAATGCTTCTTGAAAGGCTAAAGGGTTGTAATCGTTTTGGCCTATTGGGCATTGAATTTACATTGTTGACAACATCATACACATGCAATGCTTAACAATAATAGGCAGGTTCACGGCTATTTCACATTTGTATGGGCCTTAGTTCACACGAGCGTATAGATCTTCACATAGAAAAAAATTAGGAAAAATAAACTCGTTCATTTTTTCGATTTCATGAAACTACTTTCACAAATTTTTGAGAAAAAATTTTCATGTAGAGGCATCAAAAAGCATCAAGATGAGCAAAGATTACCTGATTTCTATATGGGTAAATATATTCTGGTGTGAGTATCAAATACTTGCACTTCATGATCCCAGCTGGCCCACCCTTGAACCCATACAATGTGCTTCCTTTGCAATGTTCCTGCAAATAATCTGAAACAAAAAAAAACACATAACTTACAAGTTACAACCATCACCACAACAGAAATAATAATAAATTTATTATTAATGATGATGTGAAAGCAATAGTGGTTTTATCAGCTTTCTGCATGAAAAAAAAACATTTTTCAGTTTAAAGTTCAACAAAAATGGGTCCTTACCAAATATTCCAGAAATAACATTGTGCCCTCCAGGAGCTTGACCACCAGACAGAACAACTCCAATCTTCAAATTTGGGCCCACTGCAACATCACCTGAAGCATCTGGCACTAATGCTGCTGATGGTTGACCAAATAAGCTAGGAAACAACTTTGCGATCTCCTCTGAAATACCAAGTCAATTCTTGATTAAAGTTGGTTCTAGTTTTTAAAAACTCACTCAAAGCTCAAACCATGCTGAACATTTAGAAAAAACTTGATTCTCAAAGAACTCAAGACAATGGCATCAAAACCAAAGTGAAGGTATAATAAAATGCATATATTTACAAAGAACAGAAACTTCATGGTGAGAGTTAAGAATCCCACATATATAGATAGATATCAAAGAAAGACATCAGTTTTTATAATCCTTAGGCATATGGCACGGGCTAATGACCATTAACCAGATTGTGCTTATGGATTTCAAACTCTTACTCCTATGGATACCCATTGAAGAGTATAATTGCAAGTACCAAACACTTAGATTCAAAACTGCTCAATATAGACATTGGTTTAAAAGAAATTGCACTACACTAAGTGATTGGATCGAATATTTTAGTATGACATGCACATTATAGCTCAACGAGTGAAACCAAACCCATTATGAATTTTTACTACGAGTTACTAAGCGTCTAGATCTGCTAGTAATAACAACAAAAACATCAATTCACATAAAAAGAATACAGCTTTGTGCAATTTCGATCTCTCTGAACTTTAATTGTGAGCATTATCACATTTAAGTCCCACGAATGAAAAACTGCAGAAACTCTACCTGCTACAAGTATATAAGCCAATGGGCAATGGACAAAGATCGATCTGGAGAAGGGAGAAGTGAGGAGATAAAAATCACCTGGATGGCCGGCTGCGGAGCTAGCGGGACCGTCGACGACTTTGAAGGGATTGCGGAGGACGGACGGGAGAGGGAGAGGATGATCGAGGCGGCTGTTCTGTACTTCACTGTAAACAGAGGCGTAACGTCCGGTGGATGCTTTTGCAGACGCTATGTCGGCGCTAGCCAACAATGAAACCGCCGCGGCAGGTGCCATGGATGGGTGAGATAGAGAAGAAAAAGGAAGAGTTCACTACTGCTGCTGCCGCCGAAACAGATCTTTCGGTGGAGTCTCTGATTTCCCGTTCGCGCTGCGCTGTCCTTTCAAGGCTAGTTTTGTAGCGGCGATGGCAAAATCGTCCGCGCGTTATAAACTCCGCCGCTTCGGTGTGGATTGGATAGAGAGGTACAGTAGGGTTATTCTTAATGAATTTACCGCGACATGCAAGACACGTGATTTTAATTTTAAGGCTTTCTAAACTTTTTGAGGAAAAGGCTTTGTAATCTCAACCAACCTAATAAGCCTAATTATTTGAGAAATTATTCGAAATAAGACTAGATCTAAATATAAATGTAAAAATAGAATTCAAAACTACGTAGTAATAGAATTCAATGTTTTTTATTATCCAAAATTCCAAATAGAACTAAAGATTACATTTTTACCTCTAATTCAATTAGTTAATATAAGTGAAATCACACTTTTGATCTCTAAATATGACTTAATATTACAATTAATGGTCCATGATTTATACGAAACATAACTAGGTTATTTTGGCAGCGGCGGATCGGCAGCGCTCCAACAACAGTAGACGGTGACCGGCAACGGAGTTCTGGTGGCAAGCGGTTGTTTAGCGGTGGGTGACACGTGACATTCCGATAACCAAGCTCCAACCCTAGAAAGGGTATTTTGTCTCATCACAAATAATACTAATAACTCCTATTTAAGAAATTTTAAACATTCATTTCTATTTATTTTCCTTGCAACATGTTTTTTCGCATCGTGGGAATTATCTCTAATTATTTTGTTCCAAACATTTCTTCCCTACTTCTATCTCACAATTATTTATCATATTGACTGTAAAATTTTACGCAAAAAAGAACATTTTAACAAAAAAATATTTACAAATAGCTTATGTATTTTAATTAATTTTTGTTCAAAAATATCGTTCTCCAAACTTGACCATCATCATTAACTAAGAAAACTCAATTAGATGAAGCTTTGTAGGATGGAGAGAATATATATTAAGTTTAGAAAAATACTGCCAATTATAATACTTTTTTTCATCATCAAAACATGTCTCTATTCATATCAAAAGATTCATGATCATTACATCAAGTAAAGGGAAAATAAAACCAACACCAACTGAAACTCCAACAACTACGACTGTAACTCTATGGTGAGACTTTGAGACGGTCACCCCTGAAAGAGCAACAAGAATCGCTAACCATGTAGTGGGCTTGACACAGCCAAACATGTTCCCATAGATCCAACCATACCCAATGACATAAAGAGATGCTAAAAATTCAAACAAAATGTCAAAACCAACAGCAGAGATGAGCACAAACAGATAAAAATTTCTAGGAAAACTTTCACGGACTCTGGCACCTCGTACAACCCATGATGGTGGTTCAGGCGGAGGTCGGACCGTCGCTCGATTGATACCCTCTTTCAGTGGATGACCCAAATTCATGCCATCGAATGGAGCGTTCAGCCTCTCCACGCTAACCATGCCCCGATCATCCCTACGTCTCTCTCTCTCGCTTCTTCCACCATCTTCTCGCTGCCACTATCATCCATCCCGAGTTACGTCCAAACCACGACAATCTGGCGCAATGCTGCGTCGATGGAAAGAAACGCGGCACCGGCAAAGTAAAAACCCTACGCGAGAGATCTCGTTAGGGAAACACTGACCGAACTTCGATCAAAAAGATTGAAACTGAAAATTACCTAGCGGCGGCTCTGCCCTAGGAGCTCTCTACAAGACGGACGAGGTTCTGCCAATTATAATACTATTACACCAATTATTTATGGACTTAATATTATTATATTAATATCGAATAATGCAAACTTATTATAATACGATTACAATATATTTTCTTTTTAGGAAGAAATATAAGTGTTATAATAGTTTTAATTATTGCATTGTCTTAACTCATACTTAGGGAAAATTTTCTATTATGTTTAGTAATGTTTACATACTTAAAGACGTCTTGAAATTACATTAAGAGACAACTTTATTCTATTGTATAACTTAGGATGTGTTTGGAATTGATTTTTGCACTTCCTTAATAGTTTGCAACACTTTAAATTTCGCATTATTCACACGTTGATCATGATTTTCTAAGAATGTATGTATATATAATCAAATTGACAAATTATTATGTATAAAATATTGTTAAATTTTTCATAATTTTTATTTCCGTAATATTAACTTTTTATAATGTTTATTAATACATAATTAAATATAGTTACACTCAAAGTTATGTCTTGGCAAAACATGAAAGTCAAACGGTTAATAATAACATGTCCCCAAAATTTTTCTAACTATGCAAAAATGAAAAAATCATTAAATATTGCCTTAAGCGAGACTCATATTATAATTTATAAACAACAAAAATTCCTCCCACAGCAGCAATGAATAAGAATGAGTTAAGCATATACTAGTATAGCGTTTCCAGAACATAATAAGTACCATATTCAAGTGTAAGATGAATACAATCATCTAACATTTATTTATATATATGTCTTAATAAATGGAGTCATACGTAGTAATAATTTAAGAACTTGACAGCATACCAATGAATCATACCAAATATAATCATTCTGGAATTACTATTATTATGTCTAAGGTCTAATAATAATAAGGCGTCAAGAGGGAACTGCCTTCCTTGATCAGCACAAAGATGCTGCCACCATCTCCTCTGGAAATGCGAAGCTCATCATCCAGGTAAGTCGTCAAAAGCCACGACTCGGAATACTTATTGGCAATAGAGAACTTTAAAGGCGGATAGCTGGAGATGGACTTGACGACGGATGAAGCCGTGTCCTGCAGAGAAGCAACCAACCCTTTGAAAGGGGTTAGGTCTATCTTCTGTCCCAAGAACTCTACATTTTCCGGGAACTCAATGGAGTCTATCAGCTGGGGTGTCCCAATAACGCCTTCTTCAAACTTTATCTGCAACAGTCATATAAGCTCAAATCAGGAAAGTTGAGAACTTGAGGCTCCTTTTATATGCTAATGCACATAAAGTAGAACAGGAGGCCTAGGTATTAATACTTTGAGTTCTATCCTGATTGGAGGACTGCTAATATATATGGTTCTACGGGATTAGTTCAAGATCTTATACGTTGCTATAACATTTCATACCGCTCTTAGGTTGAAGATTTGTGGTTTCATCATAGAAATTTAATTTGATAGAAAGAGTAGGCAGAATCTTAAATATTGAGAAAGACTTGAGTGAGAATAATTCAACATCAAATGTTGGTTTGTTATTTCACATTTTTTCTCAACGCCATTCATATCATAGTAATACTTCAAATTCATTGCTAAAAGGTAAGAATCCGAGAAACTTACATCCGTTGTGACTAAAACTGATTGTTTGTGTTTCTGAAAATGACTCACACTACATTTTTTAAATATGATGACATGTATGCATAGCATCGGGCGTTTCGTATTCTTATTCTGTTCCATATGTCTGGTCATATTTTGAGAAACAATCATGTATCGTCATATTTTGAATATTGTTGAGTTTTAGTCTTATACTATCGTATATGTTTTCCCCCCTAAAATCGAAGTAGTTCAAAGTCTTAAGTATTTAAATGTTTCACCTTTAGGACTTTTAGGTAATGTGATCAAACTGTTTAAAACTAACAAAGAAAATAGGAATAAAACATAGACAAAGCACACAAATAGGACCACCAATGATTTTAATAGAACCAAAGAAATCCTATTTTAAGAACGAACATAACCTCTCTTATGCACGGTATCTATGTTTTACTCCTATTTTGAGCAATTTCTTCTACAACAAATACATAACATTACTTGATGGTGAGAAGCAAGAGCGAACTGACCTGCACACGCTTAGGGCTTCTCACTTCAAACTTGGCATTAGTGCTGAATGAAGTGGTTGCCAATGGCCCAGAAAACACGACAGAGTTCTCAACGGTGAAAAGTTCAGAATCAATGGTTTGAGATATTTCTTCAACGGTGATTAGAGGGAGTGTGCCCCTGGATAATAAGGGGAACAGCCCCACAAAAGATGTGTACCTGCATAAACATCTCACAAATGGACTGAGTATCACAAATTTCACCATCCAACCACCAAAGATATACCCTCCTAAGAATATTTCAACCTCAAAGTCTAAACAATATATTAAGAAACTTATTTCTCGTATAACTTGATTCATATGGCATCTAAACTACTATTCGATTTCCCAACCTACATAGAATCCAAGATAACTCAAAACTCAAGTTAATCAACTAGGTTGAATTCTGGTCCTGGGATCAGAAAATAGTTTTTTGAAAACTTCAGAAAAATTTAATTAAAATTGAAATAATGGCATGCTTAGAACTTTTCTAAGAACACCTGCATTTTCTGATTTGATTTTAAGAACGGTATTGCAACCATAGCCTCATAACTCCATATTTAAGTGTGCCGAGGCTAGGGGATGATTGACCCACTTTAAAAATGTGAGTGGGTTAAAAGCACACAAGTAGTGTGATAACGTATAAGAGGAAGAGGTTTGGACCTCCATACGGGTGCATGGTGATAGATGACAGTATGGAAATTTGAAAGTCCTGATAAAAAGGTGTAGCCAGATAAGTTTTCCTAGGTGATAGTTGGTAGTAAGCTCTCATCCACCACTAATGCAATAACACTATAGAGAGGTGTGGTGAAATGGCTAATGTTCGGCTAAGGATATGACAGACGGTTGATCTTAGAGCTACATAGTAGGAGTGGACACTGTCGGTTAACCACATATCGGAATCAATCTTTGGTTAATCGAGATTTCGGTTACTGAAATTTCAATACCATTATCTGCACTATATTATCGGTTAATCAGATATCAATGAATCAATATATCAATTAGCCACTAATCAGTTCAATGGCAAAGATAAGAATCAACAATTACCTAACTAAAGAAATAATGTATATCTTCCAACTCCGATATTTTCAAAATGTGAATTCAAACTTTAATATGTATTTCTCCCATCGGTCAGTTAAAAATCGAAAAAAAAATGGTTTCTTCATGTTTAGGTTTGGTATTTCGGTTTTGGATTTTTTGGTGCCCTCCCCTACCACAATGAAAGATGCACTACATGCAGTAATTGTGACAGGGTCCTGTCATATAGTACGTAGTAATTGTTTTTTTTTTAAAGTATGTGGGTCTCCCATAAACAACCAAAAGTGGGTAAGAAAGCTGAAACGGAATTAAGAAGAATTAAGATATTAAAATACAAGGAAGATAAATAAATAAATTGCTTGATATTCCAAACATTTAGGTGCTGTTCTGTTCGTCTTATTCTTATTACTTATTGCTTATTCTTATTTTATTCAGATCAGATCAGATCAGATCAGAAAAATTCAGATCAGATCAGATCAGAAAGATTCAGATCAGATCAGATCAGAAAGATTCAGATCAGATCAGACCAGATCAGAAACATTCAGATCAGATCAGACCAGATCAGAAACATTCAGATCAGATCAGAAACATTCAGATCAGATCAGATCAGAAAAGTTCAAACATGATTTATCACTTTTATTATTATATTAATTATTATTATTAATATTGTTATTACAATTATGATTATTATTATATAATTATTATTAATAATATTAATAATAATATGATAACAAAAATAAGACATTAATAATAGTTATAATATTTTAATATAATAATAGTAATATAAATGTAATTATTAAGAAGACTATTATTATTATTATCATCATCATCATCATCATCATCATCATCATCATCATCATCATCATCATCATCATCATCATCATCATCATCATCATCATCATCATCATCATTATCATTATCATTATCATTATCATTATCATTATCATTATCATTATAATTATAATATAATATTATAATATATAGAACTAATTATAATAATAATAATCATATTATTATTATATTATTGTAATAATAATATGAATATAATAATATCATTATTATAATATTAATTGTATTTATATTACTATTATTATATTATAATATTATAATTAATGTTAATATAATTATAATTATTATTAATTATAATTATAATAATTATAATTATACTTATAATTATAATTTATGATTATAATTATTAATATTATTATTATTATTACTATTGTAATTATTTTACGGAGTAATTATAATAATATTGATAACTATAGTTACAATTATAGAGATAAATATTGTAATTATAATTACAAATATAATTATATAAGTAATTATAATTAAAAATATAATTACAATTATAATTATATCTATATTTATAATTAGTGTAATAAGTATAAATTTTTTCATTTTAAATTTAATTTTATTTATTATTATTATTATTATTATTATTTTTATAGTTACGATTATAATTATAATTTTATTTAAATTATATTTGTAATTGGAATTATAATAATTATAATTATAATTATAGAAATATTCAAATCAGATCAGATCAGAAAGATTCAGATCAGAAAGATTCAGATCAGATCAGATCAGAAACATTCAGATCAGATCAGAAAGATTCAGATCAGATCAGATCAGAAACATTCAGATCAGATCAGATCAGAAAGATTCAGATCAGATCAGATCAGATCAGAAAAATTCAGATCAGATCAGATCAGAACTTAAAAAATTCAGATCAGAAACATTCAGATCAGGCGAAGAGAACAGCTTCTTAGTGTGTACACCAAAAAGCTGTTAAAATTCAATCTTTTCTGGTCTAATATACAAACGTAATTAAACAAGTACCCAATTATGGTTGACTACTTATATAGAGTAAATTTAGTCGATTACTGATTCAATATTAAGACTTCATAGACATTTACACACTCTTCCACCCATCCTCCGACGGGTCATTCATATTAACTTTTTCTTCTTCCTTGTTAATTTTTTTGTCTCAAAATTAAAAATATGTTTGGGTTTGACCCGAGTTTTCAGAAAATAAAAGTTGGAGTTGTTTTCCACAATTTAAACTTTCAAAAAGTAACAAAAAATATTATGGATCTACCAAATCAAAAGTGAAAAAGTAGTGAGAAAGTAAAAGTTATTGAAACTTAATTTAAGAAATTCTTCACGATAATCTTTTTCTAATCAAGGATTTGATATCTTCATGATAACCTAAAAATGAATGTATATCTTTTTTTAAATGTACGAAGTACCACTATCTTAAATGGGCATATGATTAAAAGAAATAAAAAATACGGAGTAGTATTATTACTAAGAATTGAAAACGAAAGTATTTGGTTATATTTTTTATGGTGGGTATTTGGTTATGTTGATAATGAATCACTGAGAGCAACCCCAACGTAGGCTGTCTAGCGTAGATTTAGTGCGCCAGTTCATTATAGTCTTTTGCAAAAAAAATCTTAACACTGTGAAGCCATCAAACTGACAACAAATTGTAAAATACTATCATAGAGGAAAACCAAAAAATTCATCGTGCCGGTCTGTTTGGAGAAACTCCCAGAAACCATTCTCAAGATTTTCAAATTATCGAAGTTTGGTTCTCTCAAATCAGGGACGAAGTGTGGTTTTCTCAAATCCTCGAAGAAGCCTAGTATGACATGTGAAATTTATTTTTCCTCTTCGATTTCTGGGAAAAATAAAGCCATTCATAGTTTCATACTCTGTAATTTTAGTGTTAGTCATCCTTGTACCTTGTAGTTGCTGTCGCATGAGGACAATTGATTTTTACTTATCAGACAAGTGGTGAAGAATTTGGTGTTATTGATTTAGATTGTTTTGATGAATCTAAACAAATATGAATATCAAGTATTTTTAATACATTAAGATAAATTGATGTTTTGTGTTGTTAAAGAATATTAAAGATGAATTGCTTTGCTGAATTGATGTTCCGCGTAGTTGAAATCGGTGAAGAGATGTGAAGCTTCTTTTTGCATAAATGGCCGCCGGTAAACATATACGGTCATATTATGGAGTAATAATTCGTACGGAGTACTGCATATAATTTAGTACGATTATTATTTTTAAAATACTCCGTATTGAATTCCAACACCGAAATTGGGCCGGCGAGACGGTATGCATTGGAGACAATTTTTATAGTTTAGTATCTGGTCATTGCACTTCGTGTTATGTGTACTAGAAAGTTTATTATTTATCAGCCATTTGCCATATTTTTTTAAGACTAGACATTCAAGGATGCTCTTGGTATTGCTATCATGTCCTAATGATATTTGAATTAACATTAAGAATTAAATTTAACATATACTTGTACAATTTTTTATATATTTCATTAATCATGTGGAGCTAATGGTTGCTTAACTAAGATGTAGAATATTAAATTAAATACGGAGTACTAAAACTTGAACTTCTAAACGAGAAATTATTATTAATTATTATACAAAATCAATGAATAAAAAAGGGAAAATGAAAACTACTAATCCAATCTTTTAGGGTTCTTCTTACAATAGTCCCTCATTTTCGTTATTCATGAATAATCCAACCTTTTCATCTCATCTTCTGGTCTCTGACCGGTTGATAATCTGTTATTCCAAGTTATTTTCTCATCTTTCACAAAGATAATACTACGTATATTGCAAATATAAGAAAATAATTTGGAATAGCAGGTCATTAACTGGTCAGGACCAACGAACGAAGATGAGGTGCAAATGTTGGATTATTCACGAATAACGAAAAGTGAGACTATCGTAAGAATAACTTTATATGGTTGGATTATTAGTTTCAATTTTATACAATTCAATATATGCAAAATATAAATGACAGTATCTCACAAAAATACATTTTTATAAATCATTTTGTGTCACACTCATATATTTGTAATTTGTAAAAGGAATGTGAAAGGAATCTTACGCAAGAACCCATTTGCCGTTGAGGAGAGGCAGGGCCTCAGTGGGCGCCGGAGTGGGGTTCTTCGCCTCCAGCTGCATGATCAGCTCCACCACCTCCGCCCTCGTTTCGCTGCTAGCAGCCAACCCTCTGTTCGTCCCGTAGAAAGAATCCACCAGCTGCTTCTTCAACACGTCCGTCTCCGTCACCACTTCCGACGACTCAATCCCGTCTTCCGCCACCGCCAGACCGCCCGGAGCCACCTCCTCGCCCCAATCACCTTCTTCAGATGCCCGGACGGCGAATTTCCCCTTCGCGCTCGCCAGACCCAAGGCCGGAAACGGCCTCGATGGGGCGGTATTCGCGGACAAAATCGCAGCTTTCGCCGGAATTAGAAAGGACTTCGAGATCCCGGCGATGGGTTTGCAAGAGAATTGGATGAAAGATGAAATCGACGCCATTCTTGGTTGGTTTTAGCTGGTGAAGTCCGACGGGAAAAGCAGAGTTTGGTTTTTGCCTGAAACAGGGGACGGCTAGAATGTGCTGTGTGTGGGTACTTGTGTCAACGGCCAAGAGAGGAAACTAGTCTCACATTCAGCCACGTGTACGGCTTCAATATCACACGGCGTGGGGGGACCGGCCGTTACGGTGGAAAGACATAAATGCCCTCGCACAGTACACAGCCAGATTAGCAACATACAAAACGAAAAAAGAATGATGCACCTCCATTTGTGGACTTGCTCACCTACTACTTTTATATGCTTAGAGACCGTTTGGTAGCATGAAAATCGGCTGATTTGGCTGATTCTGCTGAAATTTATGCAGTTCTGGTTGAAGTGGCTGCATTGGCTGATTCTGTTGATTTATGAAAAAATTATTTTTAAAATATATTTTATTAATAAAACAAGGAAAAAATTATATGTAAAAATAACTAAAATGGTCATCTACAGTAACTTCAGCCAATACAGTCAGAAAAGTAACTCCAACCTTACCTTTTCTGCTTATTACACAATTTAGTTCGCGAAAACAAAAGCTACGTGTTTGGTGAAAAAGTTGGCTGATAAGTCTGATAAGCTGAAAAACAGTGTTGCCAAACGACCTCTTAATATGTCAATTCAATATTCTTAAGGATACCATTTTGATATAAACACCTACTTTATTGAGATTACTTTTGTCAAAACTATAGCACTCGGGACATGCCCCGGTAGTGCCATGTTAATGAAAATTAAAATGGTAAATATTAATAGATGTTTTGAATTATTTATAGAACGTGTAAATAACATTTTTTGTTGGAAAAAGAATATATATATATATATATATATATATATATATATCCATTAATATTTTGTTGAGAAATGAGAAAGAGGATTCTAAAAAAATGATGTATATGATTGATTATTATTTGATACTCCCCATCACATAAAACCTAATCATATCTTCTTTTTTGGTCGTCTCATTTTTTCATTTGCATTTAAAGTAATAAATATGAGGCTAAAGTATTTCTATTTCCTATGCATGTAGCTTAATCACATGATTTTTATTTTATTATTCTACGTGCAAGTAATTTTGATCAAGTTATATGCGATGAAGGGAGTATATATTTCTACTCAACTATTTCAATTTTATATTTAAACAATTTCAATTTTATTTAAATTAAACTGTTCTTAAGCATAGTTGGAATTTCACATTCCACAACTATGAAATAAGATAGTTAGTCTATGATGTTTTTACTAGGACTGAAATTTGCTGGTATGATCTAGTCTGATCTTTTTAAGTATGTTATGGTCTGATCTACACCGATCTGGTCTGATAAATGTCTGGTCTCTGTGTATTTTATAACTACACAAATTTGGCCTGGTCTGTTTAAGTCTGGTCTTGTCTGATCTGGAACTGAAAACATAAAAACATCTTAGAATGTTTTTAATTAGATTAAAATTTTATGGTTTTGTCTAATTTGGTTTGATCAAGTTTTGTTTGGTCTGCTCTTGTTTGAACCGATCTAATCTAGTAAATGCCCGAGCTATGTGCATTTTACAACAGTTAAAGTTTGTTCTGGTCGATTTATGTTTTATTTAGTTTGTTCTAGTTTAGTTTAAGACTGTAAGCAATTTAAGTAAAAACATTCTTATATTTCTTAATCTTCGATTGTTGTAAAAAATGAGTTTCATTCATTATTGTCAAATCGTGATTTGTTCTTAGATGTTTAATATGGGAATTGTACGTTCAAATTATCCTATAAATTAAGGTTTTTATTTTTATTTGTTTTGATTTCTGATCTATAGAACTTTGTACTAATATTTTATATGGGGGTCCAAAATCAAATACGGAGTAATAATTATTGGTGTGGCATTAATAGTATACTAGTCATTAACCCGTGCGATGCACGGGATAACAAATAAATTAAAATATTATTCAAAATTACAACATATAAGTTACTATCTTATTAATTCCTAGAAGTGTACAATCTTATTAATAATTTCTAGAAGTGTACAATCTAATCAAGAGAAAATAACACAACCAATTATAGTGTGGTAACATATACTCGTATCAAATTTGACACATCTATTTTTTGTACTTTTAGGGCGGTTTTACATCATTGATAAATCACCTCACATATATAATTTTTCTTCAAAATTTTGAATTGTGCAGTTGGAGCCACAATGAATGTTATATTGGACGTTAATGAAGCTAGATGGAAGCAAACGCTAGATCCATATATAATGAACTTCAAAACCAACGGTTCACAATTCTTATTTAATCAATTTTAAAGTTCACAAATGTGACCTTTAGTTATAACCCGTAAAACTGTATATCCTAATAAAAAGACACTTGATAGGATTTTCAAATTATATAGCCCGTTTGATAATATTGAAATTGATTGAATCAACTGATTCTATTGAAATTTAGAAGTTTTTGTTGAAGTAGCTAAATTAGCTGATTTTGCTAATTTATGAAAATATTATATTTAAAATACTGTGTAGTATTCATTAATTAAATAAAGCAAAAAATTATATGAAAAATAAATAAAATGATCTTCTATAATAACTTCAACATTATTTATATTGATTATTACACTATTCAAAGTTACGTGTTCGGTCAAAAAATTGGATAAGTCAAAAAATGTGTTTTTCAAACGGGCTCATAATTTTTAAGTGATATTTATACGTTTTTACTAAAACTAAGGCTTACACCTCATTGCGTGATGATACTTGTACTTTTTCTCGAAACCGGTGTCGATCTATTGATTTTCTGTTGCATTCAAGTAAGGTTTGAGCACTATATCTATATCTCCTTATCGTCATCCGGGCAGTGAAGGTCAATGTTATATTGCAATGTTAGCATATACACATTTAAAAACAACTTAACTACACAAAAATGATTAATGAAAAAATGAGAAAAGAAAAGCCCCTTGACATCTATGCAGTGTACATTTTCGAGAATGAATAAACAATCAAAGCTAATCACATGAAGGAGGCTAAAAGATCAATAATGGCGGCTAAACATTCATAAAAAAGACAACATGGTTTTCACTTTCCAATAAAATAGTCAAATGGGGAAGCGATGTGTACACAACTACACATTGCATAAGTTAGTCTCTTCTTTGAAGACCAGAGGAAGTACTCAACCGCTCATGCATACCACTATTAGCTTACAAAATTTGTGGTGATAGGTTATACTATCCCCCGTCTCCTTTTAATTGAAACATGTTGACTTTTTGCACTGTTCACATGATCTACTTTGACTACATTTTACACTATTATTTTATGGAAATTATTTTTTTTAAAAGTATTTTTCAATTCATCTCATTACAAATTTTCAAAAACTAATTTTTAATATTTTTTATTAATAGAGATTAAGACATACTTACGGTCAAATGTGTGCGTTTGACAAATGTGCAAAGATTGACTGTTGCAACTAAAAAAGAACGGAGGAAGTATGAGATATAATGAAACAACCCACAACAGAACATAGGTTATGAGAGAGTAACCTCCACACTCCTGGATCCTTTTACAGGTGTTACCACATATACCATCAAGAATGTCCCTAGCTGCCACAAGAAAATAAATCCCTCAACTCTACCAACCAAAGGGGAGATCACAAACTGATATAGAAAGAATAGTTTAGTTTGATGTAAGTACTACCAAATCAATGAGAAAATGTTTAAGCAAAATATTGATAAGCTAAAACTAATTAAAAAGGAATTTGTATAAAGAAAGGGCTTCGAACAAGAATAGAGAAGGAGATGACAAGAGAGTGAATAAGAATGAAAACTTGTGTGTTATTCGAATGTTTCAGCTGCTCTGATTACAATGAGGCTATATTATTATAGGAAAGATAATTAAAGCCCTAATGATGAGTTTTTACGTTATTGACGGATTGGCCATCCGTTACGTACTGACGGATTCAAATCCGTCATAAAGGCTGGTCAAACACATTTAATACCTTCCTTAATCACATTAAGGAGCCTAATAATGTACAAAAAACGTTACAATATTTAAAAATGATATTCTTGATGCTTCAATGACTCTATTTGCCCGTTTTGGCAGTTTGACGTAACGGTTCCGACCCGTCAGTTTCGCAACTCGTCATCAATGCTGGCCAGCTCAAAATAAGTAACCTCCAGCCTTAATATCGTTGATAACTTCAATAATAAACAACAACCATCATTAAGCCTCATTAACTTTTGTGATCATCTCTCTTTAATGCAAAATATATTGCCAACTAATTGCACTAACAATTGCCCCCTTTCGAGAAGTTGGCGCGTACAATGCATGGTCGAATCATTAAGCGGTAACTTGTCGAAATTTTGAAAGAGCAACACTTCACCTCTTGTTGTGACTTGTTGACGAAACGTTTCCGTCTTTCTTCGGAATAACCATCGACTCATCAACGACTTGTTGTGACATATTGACGACTTCGGTTGACGAAACGTTTCCGTCTTTCTTCGGAATAACCATCAATCGAATCCGTCTCCTCAACTAAAACAACGAAAACTGAAGGCTGACATGTTATCTTCTCTTCTCCAAAGTTGTCTTGACGACTCGGTGACGGAAATCTGCAACATCTTTCATATTGATGTCGACACTTCATCTAGTGACGGGAACATCATCCATCGTTGAAGATGGCGAGATGTGTTGTGTGAACTTGGTCCATATCCTACAAAATCTTTAAATAGCATTACGTTTGTCGTTTGTATTGTCTTCTTATGTTGGAGCGTGTGCTTTCGTTGTGTAATTCTGTATTTTTTGATGTACGTGTGTTGTCATATACGTTTCGGTTGCATGTGCGGTGTCATATATGTTTTGGTTGCACGTGCGTTGTCATATATGTGTGTAGATTTTGGCCAAAAAATATATATGTTGTAAGGGCCGGCTGGGACTGTTATCCATGATCTTCTCATGGGCAGCCCAGCCCTTTCCCATTTGATGTTAGTGTATAATATGTAACCGGCATGCGCATGGTTGACATCTTAGTTGCCTCGGTAACTGCTTGATCTTATGCTTTGAGATATTCCTGCATCCATTAAAAACCGTCAAAGTTGGCCGTTGGTCTTAGGCCAACGGCCCTCTGATGATTAAGTCAGTAAAAGCAATGAATATATCTTGAAGCGGAAATGTATACTCTACACCGAATACGTCACAACTTTCTCTAAACAAGATGACCACATAATGTTTCCATAAAGGATCCAAAATTCATTGAACTCAAGCTTAGAAATGAGATAAGTTACTGAGATTAAAACATGCACAAAAAATAATTCAAAGGGAATGCACAAATTGAACATGACGCTTTAACAGATTCGTCGTACTCGATACGTCATTGATTTCTAAATGAACTTATAAGGACCTGTGACGTATTAAAGTAACTTACTGACGGTGCTTCATTAAACTTGGCGTCTCGTTTGGTTTTCTATACT